CACACTGTTTGTTCTCTAACGGTGCTCCTATTACTCCCAGGCTGGTTTCTGTGAAACCATGGATGACACGTTCGGAGAATTTCCACAAGTCAATATTCGAGGTCGTATTCTCCCGGCTGAAAACGTGATGGTATTTAAGACAGGAGCGACAGGTACGATCCCTGATTGATGTGCATGTGTTGCAGAAGTTTTACTGCTGTCTCCTGATGGCGCATATGGAGTACGGCCGAGGCTGAAGTGTCATGCCCAGCTTTGGAGAGAGGCTTGGAATAAAACCTTCAGGAAACTGAAGATGGAACCTCTGGAGCAATGTGGTGAAGAACAAAAACATTTCCAGCCTGGCCAACTGCTCTCCCAGACAGTGACGTTTACCTAAAAATAATCACAGTGTAAGAATATCAGCTTTAACTAATGCTGAAACTGAGGGTGCTGTCACATCTCTAGTTTGTTTATTTCAGTCCGGCCCAATGTGGAAAGCCTGATGCATTGTTGTAATCTTCTCCAGATTTAGTCGTCATTTACACCGCAATGATCACTAAGATCCGCGCTAGTTGAAAATACAGCCATGTGACATCATACAGGCCAGTCATTGGTCACATATGTCTTTGTATGTGTTTCGTGGGCTGTTTTTCGATTGGTTAGAATGACCGTGCACATGGAAGTAAACAGAACACTCTCAAAATGGATTTTGCTGCTTGATTTTGACCATGACATCTTTAATTGTATCGTTAATCATTTGTCAATTCACATTGTAAATGATACTCGAATTACAAACTATTCCTATTCCAGATTTGACATCAAGCTACCATGAAAAGTGCGGCAATGTAAACAAACGCGGAACATGCACAAGCAAGTCCTAATTTTTGTGCTGTTCATTTGGTTCTGATCAGATCACCACATATGGATCCCTCTAGAGTTCGTTTGGATACACACTGAGACCTTTAGACACCCATGCTTCACTTTTGCGTCTGTATCATCAACTCCCTGCGTCTTTCTCTTGCGTTTAAAAATGAGTGCACAGACTTAAACGCTAGATGGTGCTTTGGTGAACTGTAATTCACTCCACACCACACAGTGGAGCAGAAGCTATTAACATTGTGTGAGGCGCATTCATGGAGAAGGAGAAGAGGCTGAGTGATCGCTTGTCTGTCAATATAAAGCCAAACTATTCAGGAAAACAAATCCCTTCTCTTTAAACCCAGTTTCATCGCACGCAAATCAGGGTTCGTCTTGTAGTACCAAAGACGTGCTCTGCGAGAGTCACAGGCTAGTGAGATGATTCTCAAATATCTGTCAGCGAGTAACAAACGTGCCATGTGTTCTGACTAAAATAATGTCTGTGATTATCTGCAGCTAATAAGAGCCAGATCCAGGGCAACGAGAAGTTGCAGAGATACAATGGCATAGACAGCAATATAAACAGTGGTTTCGGTTCAAAAGGGGATTCTTTTCGGTTTATTTGGACCAAATAAATAAATTAAAAACTTGCACGCTCCTATTTTTGATAATAATCCCATTCTTGTGCTTTGGTCTGGCATACGTGACCTCGTGCATTTTCAAATCGTTCTTGCGAGTTCTTGGTTGTGAGACGCAGTTTAAGAACAAGTTTATTAAACTTCGAAACGACTAGATGCTGCACCAGACATTCCTGCAGTCCGAAGGGACTCAGCTTTATTTCTCCTTCTGCTCCTCTGGGAGTAAAGCTCCTTGTTATGTTCTATTGCTTCCTTTCTCAGCTGAAGACATCTAGCCAAACGAGACAATCGTATACAGCGTTTGACGCATTGCTTGAAAAAAAAAAAAACGGCTTGGTGTATTTCTTGAAAAATGACGGAGCGTTCTTTCCTGCTGGTGTGTATGCTCACATTAGCACCTGTGTAATTAAAACGAAAGATTTACTGCACGCAGCCCCTGCATAAAAAAATGTAAAAGCCTTCAGGCCGCTTTTAGGCCGATTTTTAGTTTGTTTGTTGCTTTCTCACCTGCCAAAATGGACTGAACTAAAAGGGAAAACCAACTCCAGTTTGAATGAATCAAACTAAACGAGTCAGGTTACTGATACTTACTGAAACCAATTGCTTTGGTTGGACTCCAAACTTCAGCGAATACTAGGTAACAGGTGCTGAGTGTTGAGTGGTACTTAAGCCCAATTTATACGACAAGCCAACGTGCTTAACCTCAGTGCTTACCCTGCCTGCCATACCATTTCATAAACACTAGTGAGCTGTGACTTCTTCGCTTGTATTTTGTTTTTCTGTCATAGATATTATAAATGATCTTGATCTAAAAATCCGATTACTAGAGGGACCGGTATATTTAAGCTAACTTCAATTTTTCTTTATAAATATAAGCATTTCTGTATTTTTCTCTGGCAATTTTTTCCTCTGATATACTTATATATTTATATTTCTGTCGATTTGGTGAAAATTTGCATTTGATTTTGGTCCAAAAAGTGGGTGTGGAAAAACAGCTCTATAGCGCCACCTAATGTGTTTCTGATATGTTGCACTCTCAGTTCGTCATACATGAACAAGGTTTGGCACACATGTGTAGGGTTCCAAGACTCAAATACAGTGGTACCCCGAGTTAAGAAATGTTCGAGATACGAAAGGTCTTGTGGGACAGTTTCTGCTTGTTTTGGCCACATTGAATATGACATTTTCTGTTTTTCCGTGTTTTTTTTTCCCAAGTTTGAAATTCGTAAAACTTATGATGGTAACCAAGACCTACATTTTTCAAAAAACAAATTTTTGTAATAATGTGCATGTCTCATAATGAAGTCCTCCTTGTGGTTATATCTGTTCACCTCGTAAACTCCATCAGTCTTATCTTAAGGTATCCCCAAAGTTAAATTGCAAAGCTACTTTGACTTTGTTGAATCATGTATGTACAACTGTCACCATAAAGAGGAAGTTGTTATAAATTTAGCCATGCAATGACTTACTGGTCCCAAATTTACCAACTATGTCGAGAGTCTATGTCTGAACACATCTACAATGTACACTCTTGGTTTTAGCGCCACCAGGTGGCCAAAGGCGATTTAAGATTGATATGATAGTTCTTTTTTTTACATGTGACGAGAAAATTGTCAAACAATACCAGAAAATATTTAGACTCCCAAATATTAATTTGGTCATGACATTTTGAAATGTGGTTTTCATTATTTAATTTGCCTTATCTCTTGAATGCATCTTCTAAGTATAGATTAAGCGTGGTGCATAGTGCAACGAACTGGCCACTGAGAGGCGATGCCGCAGGAGGTGCTCGAGCCGTTTGATCGCAGCTTTCAACTTTAATTCTATTTTTGTAAATTGCATGGGTGTTTTCAAAAAAAGGTATTTCCATCTTACCTATCGAGAAAGGGAGGAAAGCTTCATGTCTGACAAATTTGCCTTTGGAGTCGAGGAAACGCTCTGGGAAGAAGATGGATGGGTCAGTCCAGTACTTCTCGTCAAAGTGCACCGAGTACAAGTTGGTGATGACCATGGTGCCTTTTGGGATGGTGTAACCGCGTACTACCGCATCTTGAGAGGTGGCCCGGAAGATGCCCAGTGGGACGATATTGCAAAGTCGTAGAACTTCGTGCAGTACTGCCTCCACATAGGGCATCTTCTGCTTGTCCTCAGGACCAGGCTGTCTGCCATTCAGGACACCATCAATCTCTGCTTGGACCTTTTCTGCATTAGAAGGGAAGTAGTTAGCATAAAGGTGTTTAAACGTCACCATGAGAAGTCATAGATGTCTGCTCCAACCTTGTATTCTGGGATAGAGCGCCATGAAGAGCATTGCCCAGCGTAGGCAGTTTGTGGTGGTCTCTGTTCCTGCGATGATGAGCTCTCCCACTGAGAAAATGAGATTGTCCTGAGAGAAAGATGTCGCTTTATCATTGGAGCTCTGTTCCATTTCATCCAGGTAGGCGTCAATGTAATGTTGGGGCGCTTGGGGAACCCTGTCCTGTGAGAAGCGCCTGATGATTTGTAAAAGGAAGTCGTACACCTCATTGGCATTGCGGAAAAGTTTTTGGTGTTTGCCAAAGGGCACGTACTCCATCCAGGGGAAGGCATTGTAGAGGAAAGCCCACCCGCTGGCTGCCAACTCTACGTTCTCACTAAAGATCTCAATCATGTGCTGGAAATCGCAGTCATCGTAAGGGAAGCGCTGGCCAAAGATGATGAGGTTTGTGATGTTGGAGACAGCATTGGTCACTAGATGCTTGGGGTTAAAGGGCTTCCCCTGCTGCTGGTCAATAGCGTCGAGGAAATACATGCACTCCTCAGAAATCCTCTCAAACATCTGCTGACCACTGCCAAAGTAACGGAAGCAGTTGACGGCCAACCGGTGATGCTCCATCCACCCTCGACCGTATTTGCAGTTCAGAAGTCCTGGACAGAGGATAAACAAAGTTTAAAATGAAGATCACTATCTGTGTGTTTGACCAAGGTATATTGGTCAAACATTTAAAGAGAGTGATAACAAGAACTGCCGTACTGATGGAGTGATAACTGTTTGACAGAGAGGTTGGTTCATAAATGGAAGTCTAACGGCAAACTTTCTAAATGTTTAACCAGAGATTATTGATATCATGGGTTAACCACAGATAACAAAAGCTCTAATACTGACTTTGCGATAACCCCATGTGAGACTGTCTGCTCCCCTTCAGTTATTGCCTAAACTTTGACACGCACAGCCGTGCCAGAGGCTTTTCTGTGAATCACTCGGACGTGGAAAATTGACCACTCATATCCCTCATTTTCAAAACCAGTGTGCTAATAATTCTTGTAAAGAGAAGATTTTGTTCTACTCGGAGCTATAGCAATTAGAGGCTAGAAGTCTGCAAGGACATCAAACAAACGAATAAATAAAATGGTAAAACTATTTTAGTAAAGTAAAGGGGGCATGTTCTGCTTTTTTGCTTATATTTACTACATTTATGCATTTGGCAGACGTTTTTATCCAAAGCGACTTACATTTGAATGAATGAACATATTTTTGACAGTTCCTGCATTCCCTGGGATTCAACCCACGTGCTTTTGCGTTATTAGCGTAATGCTCTACCAACTAAGCCACAGAAAAGCTATTACTGAAGTATACTAAACTTTTAAAAATAAATATATAGTATATAAATAGTTTAAAAGAAAATTTACATATAGAGAGACTTTTCTTAAGCATTTGAAGTCCTAAGCCTTTTTGTGCGTTTTTTTTTTACTAGTTTATGCTCTAATAAATTCTTTAAAACAAGCATCTTTTTTACAATTGTTACATTATACAATAATTCCACAACAAACCTGAAATTATACAAAAAGTAAAAGTAGTACATTTTGTCTTTTTTTCCTGCAAAAATTAACAATGAATAGAAAAAAAATCTAACGTGTTATAAAAATTCATAAATCCTCCCCCCCAAAAGCAAAAACAAGGTCAAAACAATGTCACATTTTCTCCTAAACCTTTTACACAGTTCCAAGCACTTTTTGTTCGGATGTGCTTTTTTTGTGTAGGAATTTTGAGAAGATGGAGCCCTTATGACAGACTTTTAAAATGTTTTATATATATATATATATATATATATATAATTTTACAAATATTTCTAAAATTTTACTGAAACAGATCACATTTCAGATAGCGCATTTTATCTCATTTAAATATGATTAACCTTCCAAATTATGCGTCATTCCTCTTGTCATGTTCGTTTAAAACAAAAAAACATCAAAACTTATAACCTTTCTGAATCCTACACATTATATTTGAAATCAAAATTAAGCAATAGGTGAATTGTGCCATTTGTACGTTATTCCAAACAGCAGCTGAAATGGCCACAGGCACCGGTGCATGCATGAACTTCTAAGGGTTAAAAGCATTTTTTTTTTGGATTTCACTAAAAAAAGATCAAACAATGTTTGCTAGTTCAGTTCAAAACCTCTTTAAAAACTTCCAAAGCAGAAGATATGTGAAGAACAACTTGAGTAAAACCAAGTTTTTTAAATCTCTTTTACTTTCTGAAAAAAATGGAGAAAGGAAGGATTTTCACTGGACGATCAAGATCATCCGGCTGTGATTATCATAATTAATAACAAGATTCACTTATGTTTTAAGGAGAAACTTACCTCCCATTTTTGTCATCTTTTGAAATAAAGGGAGGGATGGGCGATCTGCAAAGACTTCACTTTGGTGATACAGACATTCTTTAATGGCATCATATCCATTTAGAATAACAGTCGGGATTCCTCCCAGGTCTAGACTGAAGATCTGGATAATAAAATGGTAACATTCATTAATCGGCTCCTCTGCCAAACACATCTCTACTAATAGAAATAGAGTTCAATTAGAGGACATTATGAGAGCATCATAGATGGAATATGGAAATGAATTAGGCTTCCAGCTGACTCAGCATGTCTTGGGCATTCTGTAAAACTGAGAGCTGTGGCTCTCTGCCAGAAAAGCTCAGCTTAATGCAATGCTCTTTTGTTCTTTTCAAGCACCAGATTACTCTGCTCTAGACTAGAGGCCTTAAAGGAACACTCCACTTTTTTTTACCAAAGAATCACTATTGTATTATTAACTCTCTAGACATAGATCACAGAGAATCAGGAACTGGTTAGACCAAAAATTGTCTTATTGTCTTTTTCCACAGTTACGTTATTGAACCCTGTTAAAATCTGAGGGAAAAAAAAGTCAGAATTTTGAGATGTAAAGTCAGAACCAGACAGTGCTAAATGTTAGTGTATGGAAGCCCCTCTAATTTAGATTTTTTTTTTTTTGACGTGGGTTTACAAATAGAGAAATGGTTCATGAATTGATTTTATTAAAGGAATCGCACAACATTAGTTCAAAACTCTGGAGAGAATGTTATGCAGGAATCAGCTGTGGTGGAGAAGCAATAAAACACAAGATAGACAACAGTTGTTATTCCAGGACTCAGACTTTGTTTCTCGGAATTGTGACTTTAAAACTCAAAATTCTGACTTTTTAGCTCAGAATTCTGACTTTTTATCATAATTGTGACTTTATTTTTCAAAGTTCTTTCTTTTGTGCTCAGATTTCGAAGTTATTAACTCATAACTCTGACTTTATTTTATCGGAATTGTGACTTTATTCCTCGAAATTCTGACTTAGATTTCTGTGTTATTTCCTCAGAATTCTGACTATTTCTCTGAAATGTGACTTTTTTTTTTTCTGAATTCCAACTCAATTATTAGAAATATTTTTAAATTACAGAGTCCTTTTTCACACCTACCCATATTGTGCCGAATTCAGATCCACATAGCCAATAGGAGCAGCATAAATGGAATGTTTATCGTGAAGTAATAACAAATTATACTATACATAATACCTTAAAAATATGTTTTTTGCAATATAAAAGCATGTAATCGCTAAATGCAAGAAACATACAGCAGTGAATATTTGACAAATTTAAAAGTATACAACATTATTTAAACTTTACATTATTATATTTTAAGCGCATTAACTCATGCGATTATATAGAAACATTTTAAGCATTAAAAAAATTGCAATGTGCAAAGAAGTGTGGATAAGACCAAGGAAGGACTTTTTGCCACAGTCTTTTATATTTTGAATACGTCTTAATTCCTATTTGGTTTCATTTTGTTTTTTTCATCCTCTGTATGTATTCCCATGCCTACATGAGCTTGGCACGGGACTGTGTGACTACAGCAAGTTTGAGAGAAAAGCCTGCTTATTCGTTCATTTAGTTTATTCCTCCTCCTTTGGAGAAGTCTTATGTTTTACAGACGAGGCTCTTTTATGTTTCCTTTTGTGTTTATATTGCTTGTTTTTTTTATCAATAAACAGTATTAAATATAGCTTTCAAGCTAACTGTTAATTTGGAGGAAATTGATAGTTTATCAATATGTGTTACAAGTTAATCAAACACTTCAATAATAAGATTTGGAATTTAAATCCTTTCTTCGTCTTGAGTTTACATTAATTATTTACATTTTAAATATGCAAAAAGGTTCAGTCTTTTAATCGTGTTAAATTGCAAAATAAAATGTGCAATAATTTTTTTTTAATCGATTGATACCACTGATTTTGTTTGTATTCTATTGTATAATATGGCGAACAAATAATTAGTGAATAAAAAGCAAAGCGATCATTATAAGTATGTACTAAGTAGGTACACTTTAATAAGTATTATTTACTGTCATACTACAAACTTTAAAAATATTTTACCTTAGTAATTTAGAGTTGTTCAACTTTTATAAGCGCATTTAGTGAAAGTGTCTGTTGGGCACATTTTGGGGGGCACCACAGTACATTATTGTGTAACTGTTTTAGCCTTGCGAAGACAGCAAAAGCTTGCGTGTAGCAACAATGATAGAAGTTTTTAAACGACACGCTTGAAAAACTGAGAAAATCGCGCAAGAAAAGTTGTAAGCCGTGGGGAGTGCTGAGGAGAGAGAGGGTCCTCTGTACCTGTCCGTGGATGTCGCTCTGCCTCTTCATGTAGACGTGCGGCTCTGTGGCGAGAGAGAGCATATTGCCGAGCACCGGTAACGGGGTCGGTCCGGGGGGAAACCCTCGGGGTCTCCGTTGCTTTACCATCTGGCGAATCACCAGCAACATGATGAGCGTCGAGAACAAACAGCCCAAACATATCAGCGTTTGCTCCCAGGACACGGAGAGCAGACTCGCCAGCCGCTTCACGGATACCATCTTAGATGCAAACTTGGGATAATGGGGAAAGTTTCTCGTGCTCCGTTCTCCGTCAGAGTATTGGGGGATCATCTTGCACATGTACCCTATATATATCCCGCCTCTCAAAGCCAGGCTGGCGGGAAGAGGGCTTTGTATTAACTCGCATGGTGTTTGATTTAACGGTGTTCAGAAATATCGATCGTCGGAATTCAGAGCCATTTCTATTCATGAGGGCAAGCGGTCAACCCACGTAACAATTCTAAACGAGCTCTTCTTTGTAACTTGCGACATGACCTGTAGCCCCGCCCATCACTCCGAAAGGGACTTTGCTGTGGAAAGTTTTCTCCGAACCGGCGCTTGATGCAGCGAATCTTTTGTAACCGTTCGTTTGTCCATCACCGCTTTCGACAGTTTCCGCTTATCTCCGGTAGGTGGAGACAAAGCGACTTTCAGAGAAAAGTCAGACGAACGTTTGATTTGGACGTTTAATACTATGTGCAGGAAAACGCTGCTGGCAAACTTAACTGTGGTGCCACCTAAAATGTGCCTGACAGTAAAATATTCCTAAATTTTGGATTCTGGCCGTCATTAATACTTACTATAAATATCTAAACAGTTTTTTGGATGCTTTAAATAAAAGGACACATCGAACCGGAAAATTTCACAGCACACAATTTCACTAATTGTGTTTTCCCCTAAAAAATCCAAGATCATAATTAAATAACTAAAATGCTATAGTAAAATATTATTAAATTCTGGATTCTGGCGGTACTTACTATAATTATGTGAAGAGTTTTTGAACACATCTATTAGATTCAGCCTACTATTTCTATTACTCAGAAAGTTAAAATTAATTGAATCCAAATTGGATATAAATGTAGATTTATGGATATAACAGTTGTAATTTGTCATTAATACAACATTTCATTATTATTAACATTTTTCTTCTTTTGAAAAACAGGAAAAGGTTCCCCCTTCTGGTAGTTGGTGCCCTAGGCACACTGCTTGTTTCGCGTGTAGGGCACGGTGCTACTTTTTTTTGGAAATATAAACTTTTAATTTTTTTCCCCTGAATTGCCAAATTAGTGGTTGCCAGTTGGACAGGGACTGTTAACACTGGGGTGAACAAACTTTACAACAGAAAACAATATCGCTTTGACATAACAATATGCAACTTAGTTTTTTTCCTATGTAAAGGATAAGTACAATTAATTGATGTACATTCACAAAACAATCATAAAGCTCTTTAAAATAGTTATTGTCACTTTATTAGGTACATCTGTCCAACTGCTCATCAATGCAAAGGTGATTTTAGTTACTTTGAACGTGGCATGGTTGGTTCGAGGTGGGCTGGTCTGAGAATTTCAGAAACTGCTGATCTTTTCTGAGGTCAGCTGGTTTGAGCTGATAGAATCGCAACTCA